GCCTAACCAGTGTAATAAGTATGAGTATGTTCAGCCTATTCTCCATGTAAATTCCAAGTCTCTGCTGCTTAGCCATGGGACATTAGAGAATTAGAGAGAATTCATAAATAGAAACTGGGCTCTATTATCCTATAGTTTAAAAGGGCTGGGTTTTTGCCACTGAGTGTGATAGAAATGGTTAGTTATGATAAAGCAGAAGCAGGAATGGCTCTCTTGTTGTGGTTTGGGGTGCTGAGAACCCAGACTAGCAAGGTTTTATTATAACACTGGTTCAATGATTTGACTGCTGGGTAGACACCTGAGGAGATCAATGAAATAAAGGTTCCACCCATAATAAAATGTTTATAACAACACTATTTAGGGTAGCAAAAAAATGAAGGGCGAAGTAGGTGCCCATCCATTGGGGAATGGCTGAACAACTTATGTTATATGAATATATCAGAATATAGTGTGCTGTAAGAAATGAAGAATATGAGGAATTAAAAGAAATGTAGAAAGATTTCCATGTAATGATGCAGATATACACAATGACTACAATAATTTAAATGGAAGCATCACTGATAGGTGGCTTAACTCAGATTAATTGAGGTGAAAAGTCTTGGTCCTAGATGTAACATTTATCCCTGCTATGAAGAAAGAAGAAAGGGACTCTGGGTATGGAATGTAGGCTAATTTATAACACTTGGTTGCTTTGTAAATGCTTAACTATTCTTTGTTACAAGGGTGTGTGTGTGTGTGTGTGTGTGTGTGTGTGTGTGTGTATGTGTGTTGAGAAATAATAATGATGGAATTTTTTTCTAAAGGAAAGAATTTTAAAAAGAAAAAAACTGGCCAAAGTAGGTCTTTTCTCCAAAGTGAGGGTGAATCTTTGATTTTTTTTCTGGTTTGGCAATCAGATCTTCCGTGATTTGTTTTGGTCCTAGCAAGCATTTTGAGGAATATTCCTGGGTATTAACAGCACTGCCAATGTGCATTTCTATAGTATTTTCTAGTTTTCAAAGGGTGTCCATGAGCATTATCTTTTTTGATCCTCACTACAACCCTCTGTGGTAGGTAGAATGAAGGAACTGAAGCTCAAAGAGGTTGTGATTGGTCCAAGGTCACACAGAAAAAGATTAGAAACCAGGTTTTAAAAGCCTCAGTCCTGTGATAGAAATTGAAGATGTTTCTCTAAGATAAACTCATAGCTCCCAACAGTTTGGGTTCTTTACCAGTGTTTTCAGTAAAATAACACATTGTGCTGGCTGGGCCTTTCTATTTTAGGAATCCTTCTGATCATGAGAGAATGAGTAACCACCTCTGAACTCTTTCCTGTTTCCATCTGAGAATGTATTTCCAAAAGGTCTTTTTCTGTGTTTGTTTCTTTTTCATCTGGCACCTAAGGCTGCAGTACCTACATTCAGTTCCCATGGTCTCCTACTCCCCTAGTGTTCTCAGTGTAAATAATGGAACACATTAGAGATACAATTTAGGAAGAGGAGTCACCCAGCAGGGCACTGAGAAAATTTGAGAACAGTACTGCAAAGGCTGATTATAGGTATCATGAAATATATGGAGCCCATGATTTCAAACTCATAAAACTCATTTCCCACCATCAATTTTTTAAAAGCCAAATAGCAGCAGCTGTTTGGATCCCCAGCTGGGAAGAGGAAGAGGTGAAACATGATCAGGCCCTCCCGACATCACCAACAAAGAGAGCTAGTAAGCAAGGCTGGACACATTTCAATTCAATAAACATTTATTAAGCACATGCTGTGTGCAA